TATGAGATGTCTTTAATGCCTCACTTAATGATTTCCTTCCCTTTGTGAAAAAGAGAGGGCAGATCTCGAGCTCTGGGCTTCAAGTATGTAGCACTATGTGATCAGAATTAACCATTAAATATTTATCTACTTATTGCTAGTTTTCTTCGATTCATCATTCATGATCCTGATTTTCCATACATGGTACCAACATAAAATCTCCTTTTTAAGTCACTGAATTTAAGTTTTTTTAAAAGAAGGGCAGAAAGGCATTAATGTAAAAAAATTAGGTAAATAACAGGAATGTAATTAAGTAAATAATATTGAGTGGGGAGGGGATGTGGCAAAAATTACTGGGTGGTATCTGGATGCTGGAAATTAAATCAGATGCCACTCCATTTGGGATGCATGTAGACAAATTCCCTGCCTGAGCCTTCGGAGGTTCAATGAGATGACACAAGTTTAAAGCACTAGGAAGCATCTAGACAGAGAACGTGCTCCATCTGTGGTGCTAGACTCGAAGTTGTGTTTTGAAAAACTTTGGTTTGGGGAAGACTCTCAGAACTCTGACCACCTATCTTCCCAAATTGAGGACCAAGAGAGGGGGAGAAGTGACTAAAGTAATTTTAGTAACTGTGTAACCTTGGGAACATTTCTTAACTTCTCTGTGCCTCACTTGCCTCATCTGTAAAAAATGGGGATAATCATTGTTCATTCATTCTTATTAAGGCCCATGAGAAGAATAAACGAGCTAAAATGTAAATAGCATATAAAAGAACATTTGGGTAACGTGGGGGGAAACGTGTGGCTATTGCTCTTATTATAAATTCCCCCCATATATTGTATAATACAGTTTTTATATCTCCTATTAATTTGCATAACAACCCTTTGGAAGGGCACGAGTCCTCCCCCACTTCACAAATGAGGAAACTGGGGCTCAGAAATTCAAAGTCTCCAACCCACGCCCCCTTCTCTCATGGTTTCACAGCCAAGAACCAAACCCAGGTAGGCTCCGTTCTAAGGCCCATATTCTCCATCACTTAGTTTCTCTGAGCCTCAGTTTTAGCAAAATGGGAGAGCTAAAAAATACCTAGACCATTGAATAGAAAAGTATGAATTTATAGTGCAGGCACAAGATATTACTTCACTGAGCCCAAATAATAACCAGAAAGGAATATGATATTATTGCCATGTTACAGGTAAAGAAACTGAGACCCAGAGAAATAAAATGACTTGCCCAGAGTCACAGACCAAGCATGTGGAATGAGAATCCAGTTTTGATTCCATATCCTCAAAAGTGGGAATGAAAGAACTATTGTCCTGATCACCTCACTGCCCATGTTTGGGCAAAGGCCAGAATGCGAGCCCCTGAACCTTATAGGTATACTAACATTCCCTACAATGATTACCACCTCAGAACAAGTCTGCTGCTAGCTCATGTGACAAATCTGCACAACTTAGAAAGTAGACCCAGCGGTACACCAGGGTGCACATCTTGGCATATGAAATCGAGTCTGGTTCAGCTACACTTGCCTCCCCAAGGCCCCTTGTGCAGTGCACAGCCTGCACAACACTCTGTAGCAGCCCTGCCTTGAATATCCCCAAATTCTTCCTCCTTAGATCGTATTTAGAGTCACCTGTGAGCACCTACTGTTTAGAACTCATCTTGGACAGATTGTCTGTACATCTAACTTTGATCTGGTGGATCCAAGGCAGGAAAGGGGATAAGACTTCTCTGCAAACATATGGGGATCATGTTTCTTTCAAAAAACCTATTTTAACAGTCCCATCCATACCCACTAGATGTCTAAGCCCACTCCTCAAACCTCCAACTCCCAAGACAGCCACTGTTGGAAAACTTTGGGGTGGTCCATTGGAAAATATCTGGGCTTCCTGAGGCTCTGGTACTCTTCACAGCGAGAGCCAGGATCCTCAGTGGCATGGGAAATTGCAGCCACTGCATTCCAGAGCTGTATCCCACTCTTCACCCCTGCTGACCGCGTTCCTGAGCAGGAGGACATAATGTAAGAATTGTTCCTCCCGATCTGCTCTGTGGATTGGCTGCAGCCTCCCAGCAGACCAGCTCACCAGTCACCAGATGCACGAGGACCAACCGTCTCTACATACAGATTCCCAGAGTGTCAGAGCAGCAGCGGCCTGGGGACTTCATCAGGCTGGGAACCAGGTCCAAACAAGGGGCTGTCCCTCACTCAACCACCCAGCAAGTGGCAAATGACCAAGCATCTCCAGCTTCTTTCCCAGTCTGACATCTGCCAACTTCACAAAAAGTTTTAGGATCCCTACACACAATGTAACCTGCATTGGTGGCTCCAGAATTTTGGAAAAACCTTAGAAGTAGCAATCTGATGGATGGGGTGGATGCCGAGGACACTTATCTTAAAGCCATAGTAAAGCCTGTTTTCAGGTTAGACCAGTGTTTTTCAACCTTTTTATCTCACAGCACACTTGAACCTATGGTTAAACTTCCATGACACACTTAAATTATGTTGATCAGGAAAAAAAAAAGAGGAAAAAAAAGAATATACTTGTTATGCTTTGCACTTCTTTCAAAAATAATTTAATTAATAATCTTTAAAATTTTTCACAGCACACCTAAGATCCTCTCTTACCAGCACATCAGTTGAAAAATCACGGGGTTAGACCCCCAGCCTTTGTGTGGGAAGGCTATCACAGGAAGTGACTGGTTAAGATTACAAGAATTGTCATGAAGCTCCGTGTGCATAGCAAACCCACTCTGTTTGCTTCAAATGTATGTCACAGATCAATAAAACTCACAATGTTTTCTAAGGATACATTTTTATTCACATTGTACATTAGATTGAGCACCACAGTTCTTAATATCAGAGAATAGAATAATGATGATTGTATATATTTTGCTGTATGGGGAAAGGGCTTCGGCTAAGGTCCCCCAAGCAGCCAGACCTGCCTCCTGGGAGGAGGCCCTGGTTTATCAGTCACTTAAAGAGGATCTACAGCCACACAAAGGATCCCACAAGGGAACTGTAGGGAACAAGGACTAGTTTTTATTGAATTCCAACTGAAGAGAGCTTGCAAGGCCCAGCAGTTAAAAGTACAGACTCTGTATTCTGGCTTTGTACCTGCTGTGTGACCTTGGGCAAGTCACTTAACCTTGCTGGGTTTCTATTTCTTCATCTGTCAAATAGGAATGCAAATAGTAGCTGCCTCCCTGGTTGTTATGGACATTATATGGGCATCTCCTGACAAGCTCTGAGCGTGGTAACTGGCACAGAGAAGGAGCTTAGCACTGAGAAAAACACCTTTCTCATTAGGCTTAGCACATCACAGAGGGTCATATCACAGGGACACTCACTGTGAACTCTTCCTCTGCCATTCAGTCCTGCACACTGGGGTACAGATGGAAGGGAACTCCCCGTGAAGCTAATGAAGCTTAAACCTCAGAGCCTCTCCCAAACCATGCACTGAATTTTGTATTTGTAAATCTGTACCTTTGTCTTATAGAGGACTCCCCCATCAACTAGTATGGCACTTGGATCTGCTCTTGGGTTCAAGTCCTTGGTAGACAGCAGAGCACTAAGAATCTATCAGAACCCCTGCTGGTGATAGGCAGCCTGTGTCTTTCATCTCTTTTCCCTTAGAACTCTGCCCAGGGCCTTAGGGACCAATCAGTCCAGGCTTATCCACCCATCCTTTTACCAACTATGTTGCCCAAAGCCTTGTTCAACCCCTCACGTCAATCCCAGAACCTAGCATGGTGATCACGCCATTTCACAGAGAAGAAAATTGAGACCCAAAGAAGAAAGGAGTTTGGTCCAAGGTCTGCAGGTCAGCAAGTGGCCCAGGATGGGATGGCTTGTGAAAAGGTGATCTAATTCTTTTTCTACCATTGATTGTTTTTTTCCTTCCATGTCAAGAAAGTCTAATCACTCTGGGTAATTCCACACTAAAGAACTTGCTTGTGTATGAGCCCTGCGTCTCCTTGGAACCATCTGATACCACTTTCCGACTCCCTGTGCCCAAAGAGGGCTCTTCCTTCCTGGCAGCTCCCCCTGGTCTCTGATGATGGGTGCTGGGTGATATACCACTAAACTACACCTTCTGTGAACTTTTACTTGGGAGAACATTGAACATCTCTGCGAGAGAAGCAACGTCCTGGAGGCAGCCTTGTCTTACAAGCCTAGTGCTTTCTGATGATGCCTGAATGGGCCACAGGTGAGGGACCCAATGGGGACCTGTGGTACCATCTCCTTCCAGTCCCCACTGGTGTTGACTGTCATCACGATCTGAACTCAGTACGCAGCCTTTGATCTTACAGTAATCACTTTCTTTGGGAGCCTGGACACAGCAGGAGTTCTGGATTCTGAAAATCCAGAGATTGGATTCCTTCAGTCACTTGCTGCTCGACTCTGAGTAAGTCACCTCCTCTCTCTGAGCATCGGTTTTCTCCTATGGAAATGGCCTAAAGAATCCTCCCCCTCTGAGGGGCACTGAAAGGATTAGACAGGGTGGGTGAAGTGCAAAGGACAAGAAGCCCTGTCCCATCATATCTTGGCTGCCCCTATCACCCTAGGGCCTGGTGCAGAGAAAGACTAGCCAATGCTTATCTGGCACTTCCCAAGTACCAGGCTTAGTTCTGGAAAATTTACGTAGAATTCCTCACTGAAACTTGTATTCACCACTACCCAATGGGTTGGCACTACCATTTCCTCTATTTCTGCGTCTGAGTAAACTAAAGTTGAGAGAGGTGAGGGGACTTGCTCCCCACAGACGCACTTGTTACGTGTTCCTTGTGACTGTCAAGCAAAATGTGCAATCCAGCGCCAGGCACGTGGAGCTCGGAAAAGCCATCATTCCCACTTCATCGAGAAGGTCCTGAAGACTCGGCCCTCCCCGGGAGCAGTGGGAAGCGGGAAGGGGGACGAGGAGTCGGGGCAGCAGGTTCCAGGGGAGCCGGGGAGCGGGGGTCTGGTGAAGCCTATCTAGGCTGGCACCTCAGCGGCTTGGGGCAGAGGAGGTGTTACCTTAATTGGGAGGAAGAAGACCACCGGCAGCAGCGCGAGCGGCGTGAACAGCAGCACCAGCCGCCGCCGCACGCCCCACACCTTCTTGGCCGCTGCCGCCAGCGCCGCCATCAGCGCGATCGCCAGGCCGAACCGGCCAGCCAGGGACTGCCCCGCCTGCCCCCTGCGCGCGTTTAAAGCCTGGGGGAGGGTCCGGGGAGGGGACTGCGCTCAAGAACCCGCCCTCTCCCTGCTCCTCCCGGAGCAGAAGGGTGGTGCCTGCGCCCCCGGGACAGAGTGAGAGAGGCCGGGAGAAGTTGGGCAAAGTTAGGCGCAAGAACTCGGGGACCAGGACCCCAACCCATTGAGGCAGCGTGGCCTTGGGTTTAAGCCTAGCTGCTTCCCGGATACGTGGACCGTGGCATCTGGCTTAACCTCTCCCCGCCACTGTTTACTCGCCTGCGGAAAGGCTGGTAATGAATGACAATGTGAATACTAATGCACTTGCTGGTATTACCTGGGTTCAAAATCTGGCTCTGCCGCAGCGGTATCTGCGTGGCCTTGGGCGACAGCCTTTGAGCCTGAAAGTGGAGTGATGACGACAGTCTTTACTGGACAGGAGCCTTGTTTAACAAGGCAGGTACCTCCCAGACCAAGCGCTCAGTCGGAGTCGCTAGATTGCTATTGTATACGGTTGTTCTTATTTCTCCCAGGGTGGGTGAGTCACCTGTAGGCTGGAGGACAGAGGAGTCTTATCGCTCCTTTTGGATAAACACGCAGGAGTGCAGGTGTTGGGTTGAGTGGTAGAAGTTTTTAAAGAAACTGTCAAACTGCTTTCCTAAGTGGTCCTACTATGTTACACTTCCATCAGCAATGTATAAATAATCCAGTTTCTCCACATCCTTGCCAGCATTTGGCTTTGACACTATTTTGTATTATATTTTAACCATTGTGATAGAGGTGTAGTGATGATCTCGCTGTGGCTTTTTGTGTTTTTGGTTTTGTTTTGAGATGGTGTCTGACTCTGTTGCCCCAGGCTAGAGTGCTGTGGTGGCCACAGCCTAGCTCTCAGCGATCTCAAACTCCTGGGTTCTAGTGATCCTCCTGCCTCAGCCTCCCAGAGTGGAGGCTCCCAAGTAGCTGGGACTAGAGGTGCCCACCACAATGCTCGGGGAGTTTTTCTATTTTTAGTTGAGAAAGGGTCTCGCCCTTGCTCAGGGTGGTCTGGAACTCCTAAACTCAAGCAATCCACCTGCCTCAGCCTCCCAGAGTGCTAGGATTACAGGCATGAGGAGCCACGCCCAGCCTCACTGTGGTTTAAATTTGCATTTCCTAGTGATGTTTAATATCTTGTCATGTGCTAATCTGCCATCTGTATATCCTCTTTGAGGAACTAGCTCATCCTGTTGTTGTTGACCATTTTCTAATTGGATTATTTGGCTTTTTTACTGTTGCGTATGAAAGTTTTTTATTAGTCCTTTATCAGAGATGTTGCTTGCAAATATTTCTGCCAGCCTGTAGCTGTTCATGCTTTTAACAGTCTTTCGCTGAGCAAACATTTTAAATTTTGATGTAGTCAAATTTATCAAATTTTACTGTGGCTCATGCTTTTGGGGTTAACCTCTTTGCATAGCCCTAGATCCCAAAGAGTCTCTTACGTTTTGTTTTATTTTTCTAAAAGTGTCATAGTTTTGAAACTCTGAATTCATTCCAAAATTACTCCCCATTCTCTCTGGAAGCCTTCATTCTACTTTCTATCTTTATAAATTCGATTGCTCCAGGTATCTCAGATAAGTGATATTATAGAGTATCTTGTCTTTTTGTGATGAGCTTTATTCATTTAACAGAATGTCTTCAAGGTTCATCCATGTGTAGTTGGGTACGGTGGCTCACGCCTGTAATTCCAGCACTCTGGGAGGCCAAGGAGGCTGGATTGCTTGAGCTCAGAAGTTTAAGACCAGCCTGAAGGCTTGGCGCCTGTAGCTCAAGCAGCTAAGGCACCAGCCACATACACCAGAGCTGGCAGGTTCGAATCCAGCCTAGGCCTGCCAAACAACAATGACAACTACAACCAAAAAATAGCCAGGCATTGTAGCAGGTGCCTATAGTCCCAGCTACTTGGGAAGCTCAGGCAAGAGAATCGCTTAAACCTAGGAGTTGGAGGTTGCTGTGAGCTGTGAGGCCACGGCATTGTATCCAGGGTGACGGCTTGAGGCTCTGTCTCAAAAAAATAAAATAAAATAAAATAAAAAGCCCCCGGCCTGAGCAAGAGTGAGATTCTGTCTCTACTAAAAATAGAAAAACTAGACAGGCATTGTGGCAGGTACCTGTAATCCCAGCTGCTTGGGAGGCTAAAGCAAGAGGATTGATTGAGCCCAAGAGTCTGCGGTTGCTGGTGAGTTGTGATGCCATGGCACTTTACCCAGGGTGACAGAGAGACTCTGTCACAAAAAAAGTTGGGGGGAGGGTGGCACCTGCGGCTCAAAGGAGTAGGGTACCCCCCATATGCCTGGAGGCAGCAAGTTCAAACACAGCCCTAGCCACAAACTGCAAAAAAAAAAAAAAAAAGTGGGGGGGGGCATTTATCCATGTGGTAGCATATGTCAGGATTTCTTTCCCTTTTAAGATGGCAATATTCCATTGTGTATCTATCTTTACTGTCCATTCATTTGTCGAGAGACAGTGGGCTGTTTCCACCTTTTAGCATTTGTGAATAATGCTGCTACAACCTGGGTGCACAAATATGAGTCCCCGCTTTCAGTTCTTTGGGGCATATACCCAGAAGTGGAATTGCTGGATAATGTGGTAATTCTGCAGGGTTGTTTGGGTTTGCTTATTTGTTGGAGAAATGGCCAGACCATTTTCTGCAAACACTGTACCATTTTACATTGCCATCAAAAGTGCACAAGGATTCCGATTTCACCACATCCTTCACCACCAACCCTTTTTTTAATTAATAGTCACTCTAATGGGTTAGAAGGGGTACCTCATTGTGATTTTGATGTACACTCCCCTAATAATTAATAATGTTTAATCTACTTTTTTTTTTATTTTTTGAAGTTTTTTTGGCCGGGGCTGGGTTTGAACTTGCCACCTCCGGTATATGGGGCCGGCGCCCTAGTCCTTCAGCCACAGGCACTACCCAATGTTGAACCTATTTTTATGTGTTTAGTGGACACTTGCACATCTTTGGAGAACCGTCTGTCCAAATCCTTTGCCCGTTTTTCATTTGAGTGGTTTGGTCTTTGTTGTTTGTAAGCCTTTTTGTACCAGCTTACCCTTCCTTGGACATACATAACTTATCCCAGTCTACTGGTACTGCCATTTCAGTCCTCCTAGTAGGTATCTTATCTTTGTGTCCCTTTACTTTACTGTTTAAAATATTATTGTTTTTGAAGGGTACAAGTGAATCTTTCTGCAGAGTATGAATGTCTTAATAACTAAGAAAATGACATGAAGGCTATGTTAACCAGTTTGATGAGAGTATTTCAAATGGTACATGAAAACACTACACTGTATCCTGTGATTGCATTAATGTACACAGCTATGATTTAATTTTAAAATATATTATTGTTTTTGCTGTCTGAGACCAGGACAAGTGTTTGGAACCTTCTTCTGTCTCCTTCCCCTTCTCTGCTTCCCAGGAAAGGCTGAGACCCAGCACTGGGCTTTCCTGTGGCCACTGCTGTTTCAGCTCCACCAGGCCAGGGTGCGGAGAGTACTAAGCCTGTGTGGGCTTCTACGTAATAAAGGAGTGCTCCTGATTGTGACATCACATCCATCCCCTTGGCAACGGAGCTTATCACTAGGAAGGAAGACTCAGTGGGACAGTAGCCAACAAGATGGGCTACTGGGAACATCTCCTGAGTGGCACCGAGTGGAGGTCTCAGGGGGTAGGAGCTCTGTGAACAGGGACGTCTCTCTGCCACTCGGAAGGACCTGGGTTTCAGTGAAGAGACATGGGGTACGACGTAACCCATTTCCAGGGGGATACTGATGAAGACCTTACCTGCCCGATTTGCGGTGGAGCCCTGCAGGAGCCAGTGCCGGCACCCCACTGCGAGCATGCTTTCTGCCAGGCCGGCGTCACCCAGCGGTTCTCTCAACACCAGAAGGGTCCGGTGGACCGTAGTGTTGTGATGTCGCCCCCTGCGCCCTGTACCTCGGATCATGCGGAACATGCTGTCGAGCTGCCGATCGCCTGCGACAACGCTGAGTTTGGCTTCAGTCCCCTTGTTCAGTTTGATAACCTTTCGCCGCCTCCCGACTATGAGCCCCACCCGAAGCAGCCTGTGACCTGTGAACAGGACGGAGGCCTGGAGATACCCAAAGATGAGCTGCCAAACCACAATTGCATTAAGTACCTGCGCTCAGTGGTACAGCAGCAGCAGATACGCATCGCAGAGCTGGAGAACACATCCGCGGAACACAAACACCAGCTGGCGGAGCAGAAGCGAGACATCCAGCGGCTAAAGGCATACCTGCGTGCAATCTGCAGTGTCAACCCCGACCTTCAGACCCTGGGGACGGATACAACTAGATCCTAGAACAGATGAACTCCCTTCAGCTAGATTGACCCGCTGGGGAGGGATGATTTCGACCCCAGATACTGTGCTCCAGGCTGTAACCAAGCGCCCCCTGGTGGAGAGCGGCTGCTCTGCCTCTATTGTCAACGAGCTGATTGAATATACCCACGGGCGCCGCTGGCCCCAGGGTCCGGACACAATAGACAGGACAGATGAATTGGAGCTCCTCTGAGAACTACTCCGCCAAGTGCATCCCCGGCAAGCAGGATGTTGTCATAATGGCCTGTGAAAACCAGCACATGAGCGATCACATGGTTCAAGAACGGGGGGGGGGGGGTGCTCGTCATGATATTTGCACATGGTGTGGAGGAGACATAGGAGAACTCGAGGGGCTATCAGGAAGCCATGGAAACAAGCAAATTCCCATTGCTCCAGCAACTGGATCCTGAGAGCTCTCCACTGTCCTTAATACTTGGCTTATATTTGAGCCATACATCTCCCACTCTTCTGGCACCGAAGGACCCTGGGGTACTTTGCTCAGCTTTTCAGGTGGGAAACTTAAATTTCCTCCTTTTGCTATATTTCTTCCCCTAAAATGTCTGTAAATGCTCAGTCTGGGTGGGGAAATCTGTATCCATTGCCCTGCCTAGGGCCCCCAGTTCTAGATATTTCCAGAAAGTGCAAGGAGATTGGGTTTTCTTAGATGATCAGGGTGAAGTGAAGAATCTAATCAGTCCCTCTTCTCCAAAACCAGGGATGGAAGCAGGCAGGCCTGTGGACTCCAAGCAACATTTAGAGGGCAGCTCAGCCCTGGGCAGCAGACATCCTGAATCAAGGTAAGGGTAGAGCCAACACCCTAGAAATAGTGAGGCCTGTGACTGCATCACAGCCTTTAGGAAGAGACCAGACCTATTTGCTAAGCAATATCCCCGTTCAGCGCACCTTAAAGGTGCAAGCTTACACCAGGTGTGGTAGTTCACACCTGTAATCCCAGCACTCTAGGAGGCTGAGGCAGGTGGACTGCTTGAGTTCAGGAGTTGGAGACCAGCCTGAGCAGGAGCAAGACCCCATCTCTAAAAAATAATGTGGCAGGCACCTTTAGTCCCAGTTACTTGGGAGGCTGAGGCAAGAGGATCACTTGAGCCCAAAAGTTTGAGGTTGCTATGAGCTATGATACCATGGCACTCTACTAAGGGTGACAAAGTGAGACTCTGTCTCAAAAAAATAAATAAAAATAGAAATAGAAATAAATAAAGGTGCAGTATCCTGCCAGGCCTGCAGGTCTACAGGTTGGGATGCCGAAAATTTCCAGACTTCTTTCCTTCACTTCTCGTAATTAGGGAATGGCAGGGTTGGGTTTCAGGGTCAGTCTCTCTGGGTTTCTGTATTCAGCAAGAAGCCGCTGTCTGGCTGTTGCTGAAATGGCATAGGACCTGCCTCTTGTAGCACAGGCCGTCATAGTTCCACAGACCCCTCTCCAGCCCTGTGAGTGTAGTTGGTTATTTTGATAATTTCCCTTGGCCATTATTTGTTTATATTTCACAAGCCCCGCCCTTTCTTCACTTTTTTTTTTTTTTTTTTTTTAGAATGGCCTGGTTATGGCTACCCCATTTTCTAGCTCAGCCGTATTGTTGGCAATTTAATTTTTTTTTTTTAAGAAAGGAAAAAAGAAAAAGTCAAGAAAACTGAAAACTTCTTTTGCTGATCCTATCGTGGGGGTTCTGGATAGCGTGGGACAGAGCTGGGGTCTGTTTTAATATTTTTCCTTTTTGGCACAACCTTTGGCTTTAATATAGGAAGAATCCTTGGCTGAGCTTAACATGATGTCTGTCCCAACCCTCCAAAACCCCATCTGAAATGAGGAGCTTCCTCTACTCCCTTGATGGATGTGACAGTTGTATCAATGCTTGTGCCCTCTGGAAAGTTTGTGCCGAGCCTTTCCAGGGTCTCATCAGAAAACTCTGGAGTTAGACTATTAATTTTGAAGGCACTCCCCCCACCCCACACACACATATAAGTTTTTCTTGGAGCTATATAGCTGGGTTCACCAGGCCAATGAGATAGAAATTATACTTCTGTATCCTTAAGTACAGGCTGTGCTGGGCCTCGTTCACATACACACCCCCAAGGACTTCAACTTCATTCCAGGCTACCTGGGGCATCCCTTGATTCCTAGGGTGATTGGCAAGGTGAAAAGAGGGGGAGGGATAGTAGATGTGATTATTTTAATATGTAGGTGGGATTAGGGTTGGAGAAAGAAAGTCTCCTCCCTACCATATAATAGCTTCTCTTCTTTTTGGAGTTTTTTCCAAGCCAGCTTGCTATAGGCCTGGGCAGTTGGGTCGTGGCTCCATTGAGATTGGGGTAAAGGGATACAGTTTGAGGGGAGTAGGGAACAGGCATAGGTCCCAGCTCCAGGACACTGTGCTCAGGAATTTGAACATGCTGCTCTACTTAGTCCGGTCACTACATTTCCTCCACTCCCCTGCTCCCGCCTGCCTCACCAAGGCCCCTACTCTCCTGTCCTTACCCTCAGATGGAGCCAGGAAGCTCAGGTAAGGCTTCCTCACCTTCGCACTACTGACTCTGCAGGTGCCGATTGGGTTGTAAGTGCTGTTCCACGGTGTTGACTGTTCTAATAATAAACCTTTCACTCAACTCTAAAAACAAAAGAAATTATTGTTTTCAGTATTTCCTCTACATATCTCTAGAACCACTTTAGACAATGTTGTAATTTTTTGCTCCAAGCGTCAAGCATAATTTAGAAAACTCAACAGGAGCGAGAGGTTACTGCGTTTACTTGTATTTTTGTTCCCTGTCTTCTTTCCTCCTTCCTGATGCTCCAGTATTCCCTTGTCCATCACATCCTTTCTGTTGAGGAACTTTCTTTGGTCATTCTTTTAGAGTAGAGCTACTGGCAACAGATTCTTTTGGTTTGCCTTCAGTGGAGAGTATCTTGATTTACCTTTCATTCTCGAGGATATTTTCACTGACTATAGAATTCTGATCTTTTCTTTCAGGGCTTGAAAAATGTTTTGCATCTTCTTTCTTTTTTTTCTTTTTTTTTTTTTTTTGGCCAGGTTGGGTTTGAACTCGCCACCCCCAGTATATGGGGCCGGCACCCTACTCCTTGAGCCACAGGCACCACCCTGCATCTTCTTTCTGGTCTCCATGGTCTCTAGTGAAATCTCTGCTATCCCTCAAATTGTTTTTCCAGTGCGGGTAAGATTCATTTCTCTCAAGAGTTTATTTTTCTTTGTCTTTAGTTTTCAGGAATTTGACTGTGATGTGTCTTGGTCTGAGTCTGGCTCCTGTCACTTAAAGGAGTGTTTTCAAGGTTCCTTCAAGTCGCAGCTCCCATCAGTACTCCATTTCCTTTTACAGCTGAATCATTCATTGCGTGGATATACCACATCTGTATCGTTCATTCATCAGTTTATACAGTTTGAATTATTTGCACTTTTTCTTTTTGATGGAACGTTTCACGAATTTGTGTGGCATCCCTGTGCAGGGGCCATGCTAATCTTCTCTGTATCCTTCCAATTTTAGTACACGTGCTGCCAAAGCAAGCACAGTATTATTTGCACGTTTGAGCTATTCTGAATAATGCTGCCTCAAACCTGGGTATAGGTCATGCAAATTTTTCAATGGATGTATGTTTTTGTTTTTCTTAGGTATGTACCTAAGAGTAGACTTTCCAGGTCATGTAGTAAGTCTATGTTGAATCTTTTGAGGAACTTTCAGATTGTTTTCCAAGGTGTCTGCACTATTTTATAATCCCACCAGCAGTGAATGAGGGTTCTATTTTCTCTCCATCCTTGCCAACCTGTGTTATTATCTATCTTTTTCATTATGGCCATCCCAGTGGGGGTGTTTTTTGTTTCAAAAGATACCTCTGGCTGAGATGATGGCGGCTTGGATCAGAGTAGTAATGGTGAAAATGGTAAGAAATGATGCAATTCTGGATCTATTTTGTCAATAAAGCTAACAGGTCTTGTGAAAGTATGATGAGTTTATGAAAGAGAGGAATCAAATGAGATAGTGGAATTGTTCCCAAAGTGTGAGAGGCATAGCAGTGAGGAAACACAGGTAATTTGATGTTGAACTACATGGCATTGAAACAGTAACAGTGAATTGCATAAAGTTGTTATGTCAGACATTTATGACTGTGTCTTTTAAGGGGCATAGTCTTTTTGTTCTTCCTCTCCTGTCCTCTTTCCTATTCCTGGAATGTGGACATAATGGCTTGCACAACAGCAGCCTTCTTGGATCATGATATATGAGAGAATTGTTATATTGGATGTCCCCAGTGACCCACGCCTCCTGGGACTCACAGCTTTGTATAGTTCCTCCAATAGTGACTCTAGGCTAGGTCATGACTTGCTTTAGCCAAAGGAACATTAGCAAATTTGACACAAACAAAGGCTTAAGAACTGCTTGCATATTAGGGCTTGTCTTTTTTAGATGCTCTGCCTTGGCAGCCAGTGTCGTACCATAAAGAAGTTTGGGCTAGACTACTGAACGATGAAAGACGCCATAGAGAGGGACTCTGGAAGACGAAAAGCCATTTTGGATGTCCTAGCTCCAGCCATGCTCCCAGTTAAATGTAGACACCTAAGTGACCTCAACTATATCACATGGGGCAAAAGAACCACCCAACTGAGCCCAGCCAACCACAGAATTATGAGAAATAACAAAATTGATTTTGTTTCAGCTGTGGTGATTTGTAACACAGCCATAGATGAGTGGAACACAAGGAGACCTTGAAAATGGAAGGGGCATACTAAGGATGGCAAAGCAGAAAGATAGGAGTTAGGATCCTTAATGAATCTATGGAAGTACTTTTGAACTTTGTTGATGAGACGGTACAAAACCTGATTGTGGAGACTTCTTGTTTACATGTTCAATTATCTGCAGCTGAAGTAGCCATGGTGGGGTGAGCATGAGCAAGTGGGAGACTTATTTCTACGTCACTCACTGTTATGGATGCTGCCATGTTCTGGCCAGTGACCTTAGAATGAAAGGCTCCGACTGCTGGGAATGCTCCCAGCAGCCAATCCTTGGCTATCAGCCCACTTGGGGATTGCCTTAATGAAAAGTGCCAACTCAGCCAAGGTCATGTTTGCTTCCCGGGTGGCCTGCATCCAGTAACTGATTGAAACAGGGATTCGAGTGCTCAGCCTGCTCACCTGAACATGGAATAACTTTGAGGGGCCACCCCCCTTAAGAGCATCCATAAAACTGGCTGAGGCCTTTGCTGAGGCTGCATCACAGCTCAGCTTCTCCCTCTGTCCAATCCTGTTCTCGTCTCTTCCCTTTCATGCGTATGGATCCCAAGGGTAAGCTCTAACAATTGTCCTGCACACTAATCTCCCAATCCTGGGGAACTCAACCTGCAACATGGCCTTTTGAGTTTTATGTGTCTGTACTATCTGTAAAAACAATTAAATAAGAGTTCGTATGCAGAACCATATCACAGTGTGGGTTCTCTAGGAAACAGAGGGAGTTAGGAGTGCAAAGACTTATTGGGAATAACGCCTGTGGAAAGGAAAAGGAGTGGGGAGAAGCAGGGTTGGGTAGAGGGAGCCACCAGGCAGCATGCAGACCCAACAGAATTTCTGCCATCATGGTAGAGAGCACCAAGCAAAGCACACGTGTTGGAGCACTGGGTGGTGGGAACTCACACCACCATCTTGCTCAACCAGCCCATGGGTGGAGGGCTCCTGAGAAGAGCACAACCTTGACTTGAAATCTGAGGCAGTCCCTCAAGGAGCTAATGGCTGGGCATGATTCAGTTTGAAGGGTGATCAGAGTAGCAGATTTCCATGAGTGCCAGTATTTTATCAGAGTCCCACTTAACAGATCAACAAACTGAGAGTCATAGTGTCTGGTCCAATACCAGCCGGAGAGTCAGGGTTGAATTATTGCCAGTTCCCGCTTGGAGGTCCTTCCATCAGATTTCAAGCCAACTCCAGTGAAGAGAAGAAAAGCATGGCTTGGAGCTCCCTGCAGGCATGGGCCATGTCTCCTCATACGTGGCTGTTTTCTCCACTGCCTGGCACAGAATGGGTGGAAAATAAATATTAGGCTGAATTGAATTAATGTACAAATCCCAACATTTAGCAACCTCCCACGGGAAGGGCAGGCTGCTAGGATTCCTGGTGCTCACAGCCCCAAGTGGCACCATTAATACACAAGCTATGGAACCCATAGCCACAGAAGTGGATTTTGTAATTACCTTTCATTCATTCAGAAAACATTTATTGAGTTCAAGTAGTCTATACCAGGCCCTAGGGATCCAACATGAGATGAAGCAGGCAGCTTCATTCTTTCCCCATCGGGCTCCATGTCTAGTGGGGAAGGAAGTTCAACTATCAGTTCATTTAAGTGTCTGTGGTAGTTATAAAACATAGGCACAAAACTTATGCCACTTTTTCCATTGAGAGGTGGGGTCTGTGACTAACAGCTTGCATTCCTGCAAGTGACATGACTGTGTGGCTTCCAAGGCATGGAAATAAAAAGGCTGTGCAGCTTCTGCCTTGTTTCTAGAATACTCTTCCTTGTAACCGGGGGCCCTGTCCCTGAGGCTGCCATGCTGGAGAAGGCCACACGTAGCTTCTATGGTTGATAGATGAGCCTAGACTTCTAGCCACCACCACCACCACCACCCAGGCACAGGACAGGTGAGTGAGGCCATCTCAGGCTCTCTGGATGAGCTCATCTGCTGCCTTTCCTGATACAGAGAAGAGAAGAATCATCCAGCTGAGCCCAGCCCCACTCCTATTTCTGCCCATAAAGTAATGACATATTACCGTAGAGTTGTTGTTTAAAGTCTTTAAGAACATTCTCCTCTTTCCTTCAGCAGCAACAGATGCTTGACACTGAAGCAGTGTACCTTCTGGGGTTGGATCACCTCTCTGAGCCGTTATCCAGGAGAACAAAGAAGTCTCAATCATCCCCTGCCATAGTCCCAGTACCTAGAACATGATAAAATAGCAATAAACATCGAAGGATAGAACATGCTTTTCAGCACTGTGGTCTTTTTTTTAATTTATTTTTCTTACTTATACATGTGTATATTAGGTTTCCACTTTTGCCTTCACAGAATTAAAAAAGGCTAAATTTAATGACAATAAAAATATTTAACATAAGGACTGAGAACAAAAACCTCATAAAGAACGAATGAAGGTAAATACATTCAGAAAAGAAATCAGACGATTGCTGCAATGAAATATTAAGCAATGATAATAGTAATAGTGCAAAGAAAGTAACATTCACATTGTTAGCTAGAAGTATGCCTATCATAGAATACTTTGATCAGTTAACTTCTTCTTCTTTTGCTTTTTCCAAAGTCTCACAAAAATAGACAGCTAATATTTATAAATAAAAGTAAAAGATAATCTCAAAACAACAGATCGTGCCAAAGCTTATAGACAATAGAAATAAGAAACATTTCAAAATCATTCTACTTCATCTGGCTACACCTGATATTAAACTTAGAGAAAATATATTATTATAAAGGGGAAATTACAAACATATTTCACTTATAAAGGAGGATGCAAAATGATAGACAGCATATTAACATGTTGAATTAAAAATTAATGTTTAAGTAATGTACCTTGGTCAAAATTAAATACAAGAGCATTGTAGTCTATGGTTCCAAACATCCAGCAAGACCACCAAGCGCCTACTGCGTACTGGGCATCATTCTGGGTGCTAGGATACAGCAGTGATCAAATCAGATAACAGAGCTCTTATTTTGGTAGCCCTGTGGTAAGATAAATGAGTAAAATATGCAGCAGGTCACATGTGCACAGTGCTATGAAGAAAAAATAAAGGAAGGAATGGGACAGATCAAGAGGGAGTATTATCAGCAAATCTCAGCCTTCCCTCTGCACAAGAGCCTCTCATGCCCTCCCCCAGCCCCACCTCTGAGCCCCATACCACAGTTAGCATCTCTCAGTGTGACATTTTGTTCAAGGTCTCTGCAGCTCCAAGACCAATATTGGCTTTGAAGCAGGTCCCAGCAGAGAGCCCTCAGACCAGAGTTGGGATTGGTCATCTCCTTTATGTCCCCTGGAGTGGGAAGTCCAGCAGCTTGGTCTGGCCGGGCCTCTCCTCACTATGGCCCCTCCTGGCCTGAAGCTTTGACTAACTCTGGGTTTGGGGCCATCCCCTAACCTCCTCTATCCCAGGCAGAGGGTGAAGGTTTACAAACACGGAGAGGCCTTTGATCGGCATCACACCCCCAGCGTTCTGACTGTTTTTTGTTCCAAACTGCAGGCCAGGATCATACTCTGCTTTGCCTCCAACAGGGAAGACTACAGGGAGGTGGAGAGAGTGTGTGTGTGTGTTTGGGGGAGGGGAAGGAGATTCACGGGGGACCCTCAGTTGTCTTTCCTACAGGCAGGCTGTTGTTTGCAAAAGAGAATTCAATTCAACCCCAAAATGTTTATGGAGCACCTTCTACATTCCAAGCACCATTACAGATACTAGGGTTAGAGCAGTAGGCCAAACACAGCTCCCTGCCCTAGATCCCATGTTCTGGGGGTGGGGGACACAGCAAAGGAGCA